CCAGGGGGCAAAAGCCCCCAGACAGTGTAGCCCCTGGGATCCCTGGGACACACAAACCCCCCCACCACGATAAGGTAGCGATACGTGGAGGAGATTCTACTTTTTTAAAGTTTGATTTACTCTGAGTCTATTTTCTTGTAAGTGTTCTGGGTTTTTAGCTCATACAGGTGAATGACACTGATACTTTTTACTGCTTCACTTCCTCTAAAATGTGGAGACGAGCTGTTTCATGATGACTACAGGAAGCTGCTGCTCTTATTAACTGCTGCTCTTATTACTGTTTGTCCTGTTTAGGTGTCCCACAAACCAAACTGTCTGAGCCACATCGAGGCTGCTGCCATTCCCTACGTGGCAACCACCGCCTGGTCAGCGCTGGTTAATACTGGCGGTCTGAGAAAGGACAACTGTGCCAACAAGAGGTGAGGACATGGAAAGTTTAATCCATCCCAGTGAAGCTCGCCAACTGTTCCTCCTGAGCCCCTTTTAGCTCGCTTATTAAGGCGGGATCTAAAAGGAGCCTCGTAAACTCTAGATGCAAATAATATGATGAGTGAAACAATTTAATTGATTAATTGACCAATCAGACGAGGCCAAAGTCACGCCACCGCCACCCTAACGATTAGCCAGGAATGTGCCGAGGGAAGTCGAGGAAGATCTACTAATAACATTTAGCCATTTCATCAAATATTACTTCATTCCTCACAAACTGCTTCTGCAGCTTTTTGTGGCTTAAATAACGACACGGTTTAATCTGTCAGGTGCTGTGAGGTTGTACTAACCTCATCTTAGATCCTGATAATTATAAAGATATTTTTTATTAGGTCCTGAGATTGGACCGGGCAATGAGCTGTGACCCGTGTGTTTACAATTTGCACTAATTTACCTGCAAGACAAAACAGAGGGAAAAATGTCCCCACATCAGTCTCAGTGTAAATAAAATGGGCCACCGGAAACCTACCAATAAACCAGCTACAGCGATGTAACTAACCTGACGCTTGTTTCACCAAAGAGGCCTTTGTTGGGGTGAGGGGAGGAAGACGGGATGAAAAACAATACAATACAATACAAT